AATTGTGCACCTAAAACCTGTAGAATCTTGTTCACCAGTGTCACCCCAATAAATTTAATAAAAAGGAAAAAAAGAGCCTTAGCCAGTTTGGCTCAGTGGATAGAGCGTCGGCCTGAGGACTAAAAGATCCCGGGTTCGATTCCGGTCAAGGGTCCATGCCTGGGTACATGCCCAATAGGGGGCGTGCAGGAGGCAGCCAATCAATGATGCTCTCTCATCACTGATGTTTCTATCTCTCTCCCTCCCTCTCCCTTCCCTTCCTCCGAAATCAATTTAAAAAAATAAAAGGAAAAAGAAGAGGTAATGCATACACCATCTCCCTCGGACCTCCCTGTCCCCAAGTGTTCGAGACTCCGCACTGGCCGGCTACCTGCAGGGGTTCTCTCCTCCCGCTCTGCGGTGGGGTAGAGGGGCGGGCGGGCAGGCGGGGACAGGCGAACACTCACGTCCAACCTCCAGCCGGATTTCCGCAGAGGCGGCGCCCAACTCGTTGACGGCTCGGCAGGTGTAGACGCCAGCATCCCTCTCCCGAGCCACCGGGATCCGCAGCGCCCCCGAGCTCGAGTCCTCGGGGGCCAGGATCATCTCGAGACCCTCTGGACCAAAGAGGAGAACGCATCAGGCCCGGCCCGGCCCGCGGTCGCCGTGGGGGGCTGGGGCGCAGCCTCTCCTGACCCCAGGCTCCTGCCACGCACAGGCTGGGGCCTGGGGCAGTGGGGGAAGGTTCCCGGAAAGTCTGGGGACAGAGTTGTGGTTTTGCCAGAGGAAAAGAGTTCTGGAGACGGACGGTGGTGACGGTTGTACGACGGTGGGGGTGTCCCTGATGCCACTGGACTGTGCACCTAAACATGGTGAAGATGGCAAATTCTTCCTGTGTCTCTTACCGCAATTAAACCTTTTAAAGTCAGCACCCTCAGTCAGTCCGCCGAGCCCCTCAGTGGAGCAGGAGTGAGGCCCAGCCTGTCTCCCTCCATGCAACAGGCTCTTCACCCAAAAACTCCTTGCCTGGGCCTCCCTACTGGGTCCCCACCCTCTGCCCCGGGGCCAGACTGAGGCTTGGATCAGCTCTGGGAGGGGCCTGGTCACCCCGAGATGACCACACCCCCCATGCCTGCCTCTCTGAGGCCGCCCCAGACATCCACCCTGAGGCTCCCGTTATTTCTCCTCCAGGCGGCTGGCTGACAGACTCCCTGATTCTGAACCCCTTTTAACGTGTCATTTAGTTTTTCACTTGTGGTCAAACACACATCACACACATTTTTGCCATGGTAAGCACGTTCAGTGTCCAATCCGCGGCATGAAGTGCATTCCCAGTGTATTGTGCCCATCACCACGTCCACCCACAAAACTCCTTCATCTTCCCAAACCGGAACTGTGCCCATCAGACATGAATTCCTCGCTTCACCCCCCACCCCCGTGACCACCTTTCTACTCTGTCTCTATGGAGGAGCATGTCCTAGGGACCTCATGTAAGTGGAATCAGGTCATGTGTGTCCTCCGTGTCTGGCTTATTTCACTTAGCATAAGGTTTTCAAGGATCCATGTTCTATCAGAATTTCATTATTTTTTTTCTTTTATTTTTCTTTGTTTTTTTTCTTTTTCTGGTTCTTTTTTTACAAATTTAAAAAGCTGTGGTAAAAAAACACAGAACAAAATTCACCATCTTCACCACGGTTATGTGCACACGTCTGTGGGGTTAAATACACTCACATCGTCACACACGTGAACTTCATTCCTTTTTAAGGGTAAACAACATCCCACTGAGAGAGCCCCTTTCGAAGCGGCTCAGGGCGGGGCTGGGAGGGGCTGGGAGGGCTCTCGGCGGGAACACGCGGGGACGTGGGCCCTGCACCAGGGGTCCCGAGGCCTCTGCCCCCACCGGCTGGGGCCCTGGGACAGGATGCTCACACTCTGAGCTCACGCCCTGGCGGTGGTCTGAGTTCATCCCTGCCTCTCTCAAAGCCCAGGTGCAGACAGGCGCTGCACAGGATGGAGGTGTCCAGGTGGGGGCGCCACGGGGCTCTGGCTGACACCGGAGCAGGAGCCCAGTGTCCGAGGCAGCAGCCCCGCACCCACGACCACCGGTGGGTGCGCAGAACAGCTCCTGCCCATCCAACTTCCAGCTGGGCGTCCAGCACCGAGGACACACTCCACGCCCGCGAACCCCAAGAGCCTCGGAACAGTCGTGGCTGCTCCTCCGTCTCCCAGGCCAACCCGTCACCGCTGCCACCATCTCTAGGAGCCGAGCGCCGGCTCGTTCTAGACACTTTGCTTGCGTGGACTCGTCTCATCCTCACAACCATCTGGGGTTTCCCGTTTCCCCGACAGGGAGCCAGCTCAGAGATGCCAAGCCCCCCACCCACGGGCGCCCAGGGAGCCGGAACCAAACCTGCTCCTCACTCCCGAGCCGCCCTGCATCAGCTGCGTGGACTGTGGGTGGGGGGCGAGGGCTGCTGAAATGGGCCATTTCTCCCCAGACACCCCGTTCGGAGTGGCCCCTCCCCAGTGACTGTCCTGGAAATCGGATCCCCCGGGGCCCTCTCCCCACCCCACGTACCTCGATACCAGATGAGCCGGGGCGGCGGCACCCCGGACGCCTCGCACGCCAGCACGGCCTCCTGTCCCACGGCGGCGAGCACCACCGCCTGGACGGCGGAGACCGAGGGTGGGTCTGCATGGGGGCAGATGGGAAATGTGGTACCAAACTCCCTAGACTGAGAATGTGGCTTCCGCAGCTGGGGGCGGGGAGGGGATAGAGGGGGAGCGGAGCACTCTGCCTCCTCCCCATCCCCCACCTCGGGGACGGTCACCCCAGGAAAATTTAGCCACAGCTCACTTTTTGCAAGCTCCCCACCCAGGACTGGAAGTGAAAGCCGTCACTCCTGGACCAACCCCTAACGCTCCTCACTGAACCTGCCAAACCCTACGAATGCCCTCCAGGGGGTGCCAGCCGCTCCCCGGCCCCGCTCCCCCCACCCCACGCCCGCCTCCGGGCAGCCCCTTGAGCACCCAGGACTCATTACCCCTCCGGTCCCTCTGCCTGCCCTCCTGTCCCTCATGGAGGCCTCAGCGGGTCCTGTGTGTGACAGGCATCCACCCCCCACCCCCCGCACGTCACCATCACTCACCCACCCTGCTCTGCGCATCCTCACCACCCAAAAGTGCCTTCCTTATGTTTTATGCCTCCCCCCTAGACAGGGACCTGTGTCACAGCTGTGTCCCCACTGCCTGGCACGTAGCAGCTGCTCAGTAAGTATTTGTGGACGAGAGGGAGGGAGGGAGGGAGGGAGGGAGGGAGGGAGGGAGGAGGGAGGGAGGGAGGGAGGCCGCCCCCTCTCCCCAGATGCCCGTGGCCCGAGTACCTGTGTGGTAGAGGGTGACCGTTTCCTCGTCTGTGCCAACCTCGTTAGCAGCCCGGCAGCTGTAATTCCCAGCATCCTCTGGGGCCAGTCCCTGAATGATGAGGGTTCCCTGGCCATCCACGTGGATTCTGGAGTCATGGTCAACAGCAAGGGGCTGATCAGGTCGGGCCGTGCAAGGGTCCCTCCGGTCATCGTTAATAACAAATTCACTAACGTCGCCAGGGACCACCACCCCGCACCGCCCTGCGCCGAGCTGTGTGCTCAGCGCTGTACACGCTTTGTCTATTTTCATTCATGAGGCTCAGAGAGGTTAGGTGACTTGCCCAAGGTCACACAGCCTGACTGGCAGAGGCGGGATCCAAGCACAGGTCTGCTGGACTCTGACCCCGGAGCCCACCCTGAGGCATCGTCATGTTTCCAAAGTGACTGGTCTCCTGAGCCTCACGTGATCCCGGAGGAAGGCAGGACCGTGCTCCTCCCCGTTTAGGGGTAAGAGGACTGAGGCTGGGACAGGTCCCTGGGGGTCCTGGTCCCCCCTGTTCCCAGTCCTGGAGCCCCAGGCCCTGGGCCCCTCACCTGCTGTCCTCCTGCAGGGTGTGACCGTCACGGCTCCAGGAGATGTGGGGTGCAGGGTACCCAGACGCCGAGCAGCTGACCCTCACATCCACGCCCTGGGAGAAGCGCTGGGACCTGGTGTGGATGCTGACCTTCGGGGCCTCTGCAGTTCGGAGTGGGCAGCAGGACAGAGCCTGTCAGAGCAGCCGGGCCGTCCCAGCCCCCAGCCCTGGGTCCTGCCCTCCCACGGCCACGGCCACCGACGGCAGAGACACAGGAGGCAAAGGCCCTGAATCCCAGGAGTGGCCTCCCTGGGGACGAGGGCTGACCGGGCAGCCACCCAGGCACATCCCCAGGGCGCACGCGGACTGCTTTCCCAGTGCCCGCGGTGGGAGCTCCCTGGAGTTCCCCTCTGGGCCGAGCACCTTGGCGAGGCTTAGGGAGATGCCCGGCAGCTGCCAGGGCTGGGATGGCTCTCGCCTCCGGTGACCCTGAGTGGACCCCAAGGCCTGCACAAGTGCTGGCCCCAAACGCAGAAAGCACGCCAGACTTGCCGGGCTTCCACAGAGCTCACGGCCCTCGCCTAGAAGTGGAAACACGCCCCTCCCATAGCTGTGGCCCAGATACAGCCTCAGAATCCTTCCCCATATCCCCCCAGGCGGCCTCAGAATCCTTCCCCACACCCCCCAGGCGCCAAGAGGGGTCGCTGGCGCCAGAGAGCACACTTGTTTCACTTTCACACTTGGGGATAGAGCACCCCAGCGGGGCGGCTCTGTCTGAACCCTGGCAGACCTGAGGTCATGCCTAGGTCCTAAGACTCCCAGACAAGTGCTCCTCCAACTGTCTCCTCCATCCCTATCTGGTCAGTGCTGCCCAGCCCTGACCTCTGGGCTTCAGCAGTTGCCAGTGTTCCATCCCTATCCTCCAAAATGGGGGGGTGGTGAGTGGCAAGGCAGGTGCTCAATGGCTCTGGAAAAGGTCAGGACACAATGAAATCAGCTTGGCTTACAGCAGTAGGAATTTAGGTTAGATAAGAGGATGAACTTCCCACGAGTGAGAACCACTAGGCATAAGCCACGAGGCTCAGACTCCTTTCTCTGAAGGTTCAGAAAACGGGGAGGGTTGAGGTTGCCTGCCAGAGGCCATGTCTGGGCACAGAGAGGGGCGGAGGGGTGGAGGGACGGAGGGGTGGAGGGACGGAGGGACGGAGGGACGGGCTTTGGGGGTAAAGACTGGGTAGTGTGTGGAACTGGGAGCACAGCCACGCGGGAAGAGCCTCACCTCGCACCAGGAGCCAGGCGGATGCCCTCGTGACCCCGTTGGCATTGCTGGCTATGCACTGGTACCGCCCGCCGTCGCTGGGGATGACGGTGCTGACCTCCAGGGACAGGTCGTCCAGCTGCCTGACTCTGCCCGTGGAGGCCGGCAGGACCCGCCAGTCCCGCACCCACGTCAGGTTGTGGGGGGCCTCGCCCAGGACCCGGCAGGACAGGACGGCCGTCTCCCCTGGGGACACGGTCACGTTGGGCGCCGGGACCAGCTGTGGCGGAGGGTCTGCAAGGACACACGCATGGGAGGTTCGCCGGGGCTGACTCGGGAGGACAGCCTGCTGGTCCCCATGGGGTCCCGATGCCAGAACCCAGCACTGTGGCCGTCCGGAGACTTCGGCCAGCCAGGAGGTTAACCGGCGTCTGCTCACCATCGGGGACGGTGCCACCCAGGGAGGGCGCATTCCCTGTCGCCATCACACACCCACCGAGGGCTGCGTGGCGAGTGCGCGCTCTGCTCCCGGCAGCCAACTGCGGTGTCTAACAAAAGCTACGCTTTGAGCCAATATTTGCACCCTTGGGAATAAAGCTTGGGTTTTAAACGAACCCTCAGGAGGGAAAGATTAATGAGTAAAAGCCACGCTCTGTGCAAACAGCGGGCTATTATTACACACAAATGTAGGAAGGAGGCCTCTGCCCCGGAGACGGGAGAGCAAAGAAAACCGCCGTCTCGCCAAGAAGCAGCCACAAGAAGTGGCGAGATTAGAGACCCGCTAACCAGGGCCGTGGGCCTGAGAACCTGCAGGGGGGGCGCTAGATCCACACAGGCCACATGTGCCAGTGACCGCGGTGTCCAGGCAGGTGGAGCCTCGGGCCTCCGCAGCTGGCAGGGGCAGAAATGGAATCCTGGGGACCAGCTAGAACTGGAGGAACTATCACTCATGCTCTGTGAACCGCGATTGCTCTGTTCTGATTCAAGAAGGCACCTCCCAGCCTGGCTGGGGGTTCCACGGGGGACCTGGGGGCTCACCTCCTCCCCATCCGGGAGCTGCCTGTTGTCATGGGGAGATAGCAAACCCTGTTGCAGAAGCCAGAGCCGCCAGCCCTTTGAAGACCCCCAGCCTTTGCACGCCCACAGGCCTCTGCAGGTCTCCAGCCCCCATGACCTGTAAACTGCCCACCTGGCACACCCTTTGGCTGCTTCCCCATGTCATCGCTGCCCTTCTACCCAGTCTGAGCAGCTGGCTTACGGTGGGGGGCGGAGCAGACGTCTGCCGCAGGATGAATAAACACTCATAATGACCCAACCCCGTCTCTGCTGGATTGGCTCACGCAGTGACAGGCAGCGCAGACCCACGGACTGTCTGGTTACAAGATGAATGCGGCCACGAATTTCTCTTTAAATAAATTTACACCAATGCATCATGCCGGTGCACCCCGATATGCCAGCGTGCAGACGGGGCACCTGTGTTTCCGGGGAGGCCAGCAGCAGACGCTGACTGTAGTGCATTAGACAGCGACAGGGACTTGAAAGTCGAAGCCCTGAGTTTGAATTTAACATAGTTTAGCCGAGAGGAGAGAGAGCAGATACGGAAAACGGGGAGCCGCTGCGAACTCTCAGTAACGGGCGGACAAGTTTCCTGACGCAGTTCTACTTCTCTTTGCTCACCATCATTTAGAAAAAGCAAATTTTTGTTAATTCCCGCCCTAAGCATGTGTGCTCACGTGCTCTACTGTGAGGTGATAACAGCCCGGGTTGTTGTAAGTATGCACACTATTCTCCCATTTTCGTTGAAACGCGCGCGCAGATAAAGGTCTGAAAGGAAGCGAGTCAACGCGATCCGGAGGGCGCCTCTGGGAGGGCGCCGGGCCGCTCCGCCCCGCTGCCTGTCTCCCAGTCTTCCTCCGGGAAGCCCCGCTTTGTGTAAGATCCGAGGGTGCGGAAGGCCTCGCTCTCCACGCTGTCTGGCTCCTTCCCTTCTCTTCCGGAGAGCTGGGGTTCACAGTTTAGAAAATAAAGCCAGCCGTAGCCGGTTTGGCTCTGCGCATAGAGCGTCAGCCTGCGGACTGAAGGGTCCCGGGTTCGATTCCGGTCAATGGCACATGCCCGGGTTAAGGGCTTGATCCCCAGTGGGGGACGTGCAGGAGGCAGCCAATCAATGATTCTCTCTCATCATTGATGTTTCTCTCTCTCTCTCTCTCTCTCTCTCTCTCTCTCTCTCTCTCTCTCTCTCTCTTCCTCTCTGAAATCAATAAAATTTTATTTAAAAAAAATCATTTAAAAAAATAAATAAAACCAATTTCCTGTTGAGATGGTCGGTGGCATTTCCAACCTTCCTGCGCTGAATGGTGTCATTCCGTGGGGATGTGGAGGCACAGGTGTCGGGGCTGCAAGATGGACGGTGGCCCCGGAAAGGTCTGGGGGCCCGCAAGTCCCAAAGGCCAGACCAAGCAATCAGGGGAGGGAGGAAGGCTGGGCAGGGGGAGCGCGGCCAGAGCCGAGGTTCCCAACCTCTCTCCAACCGAGACCCGCCACCCGGGCCATCCGGGGTGAGGCAGCCCCAGCGGGGCCGGCGGGCAGGGGGCCGTGGCAGCCAGACTCGGTGAAGGACAGTCCCCAGCAGCTGGCTGGCACGCTCCCCCACGGACGGAGACTCCCCGGACGGAAATCCTAGAGGGAGAAGTCAGCGAGGGGGTGGGGAAGAGAGACTCGGAGGGACAGACCTGTGACGATGACCTCGGCCTGCGCCCGTCCGGTCCCAGCCCCGCTGACCGCTGTGCACTCGTATGTGCCTTCCTCGGCCTTGGAGGCCCGCGGGATCTCCCAGCTGCTGTTCCCCGACTCCCTGCGAACACACGACAGCCGGGCACACACCGTCACACTGCCCCCAGCCAGGGTCCCCCGCCTCCCCCACCCTCTGGGGCCCGTTCCTCTGAACCCTGCCCCGGGGGGGTCGGGCAAATCCTCTTGGAGGCCTGATAAGAGGAGCGGGCAGCCAAGGACATGCAAATTCCACAGGATGCTGTGTGGCTCTGCGCAAGTCCCTGACCCTCTCTGAGCTCTGGACTTCCATCCATAAAGGGAAGAGTCTTTCCTGCCCTGGCCCCGTGGAGCAAGGCCCTGCACGGGTTGAGTTTTCTGCAAGCGAAGGAAGCCCCGTGATGAGCAGTGGCGGGAACCTCGGGGGCTACCCTCCCCCATCCCTGGCCCCACTGAGAGGTGCCCAGACTGGGCTGCCCTGGAGGACAATATGACCGAGCCCCAGGTCCCTCTCCTGCCACCCACTCCCCTCAGATCCCCAAGGGCATCGGGACCCCAGGAGCCCAGTGGCTGAGGACCACGGGCTGGCCGCGGGCCACTCACTGCAAGTGCCGCTCCTCGCCCAGCCTGGCTCCATGCCGCCGCAGCTGCAGCCGGAAGGGGAGGGCACTGTGCACCGAGCAGGAGACCAGCAGGGGCTGGTGCAGGTAGCCGTGGATCCTGGGGGGCATGCTGACCAGGGGCCCGCCTGCAGGCAAGGACCAGCGCTCAGCAGGCCGCCCTGCTCCCCACAGCTGCCCGCCCTCCGCCCAGACACACACCCACAGGGAGGAGCCAGGAGCAGAGGCCTCTCCAAGCCTCAGTCTCCGCCTCTGTAAAGTGGGGCTGATCACAGCACCACCGTGCTGTCCTGAGGAGTTGGCAAGAGGTGGTGCGTGGGAAGCGCATGGCAAGCTCCGCCCACGAAAGCTCTGTGGGTTCGGATGGTTTGTGACCCACTGGCTGCGATGGGCCAGTCTGTGCTCCATTCTCTCAACTGTATCAGGCCAGACCAGACAGGGCGCCCCAGGGGTGGGGGTGGGGCGTCAACTGCTCATCTGCCCGGAGGGTCAGTTCTCCCCAAAGATGTTGGAGGGGAGCCTTTTTTATTCAAAAATAAGCATAGTTGGAGCAGGGCTTGCAAAGGCAAAATTCACACGCATTTTTGAGATAAAATAAGAGACTTCAATGAAATCTCACAGCTTGTGATGAGCCCCTGGGGGCCCTCAGCAGACACCACTGCCCCCCTCGCCTGACCCTGGTCTTGGGGGTGACACATTCTCTCCTTGGCTGTTGGAGTTACTTCAATGGACGTCCTGAGAACCACCCCGCAGGGTCCTCTGGCGGCGCCCATGCCTCGCGGGTGATGGGGCATGCGCTCAGCCCTGTGCTGCCCCCTCCGCGTCCCCACCGGGAGATGCTGCGAGGGCTGACAATGGGCCAGACCTCCTCTGAGCACAGAGCCGGGGTGGGAGGGCGGCGGTGACATCATGCTGCAGGCTGCCTGCCACGTCCCAGGGGAGAGGGATGCTGGACCATCCAGCCACGTCCTCAGCTGTGTGCAAAGCAGCCAGCTCCCCCCCCCCCGCCCCCCCCTCCAGCACACACACACACACACACACACACACACACACACACACACACGAAGCCTCTGCAAGGCCTGCTCGGCTTCCTCTTCTGTGAGCTGCAAGGGCCCAGCGACCCCAGGCCCAGCCCGCACACCTCCATGTCTCCAAACCCAGAGCCTCCTGCTCTCAGCCGAACCGCCAGCCTCCCAAACCTGGGAGGTAGAGTAGGAAGCAAAAAGGCCAAGCCACGCCGCTCCCTGCCCCACAGACACACCTCCATCTAGAGCCGAGGTGCCGACCAAGAGCCAGAGCTAAACTCCAAACTCCTGGATCCATCGCAAAGAGCAGGAGAGAGACACACAGGCTGTTACTCTGCTGCTGAAATTTCTTTCTGAAAAGTCCTCTCAAAGCTGCAAAGGCCGGGGTGGCCGGGACCACTGTGGGGAGTGGAGGCCAGCAGGGGGCTGGAAAGAAGGGTCTGCAGCTCCTCCACCTCACATGGGCGGCTTGG